CTTTACAGCATTTTTTCACACCTGCCTAAAACTTTTGCACAGTACTGTAGATTAGCCTTCCCCAGCTCGGATGGTCTCCAGAAGTGTAGACGTTAATTCCCAGAATTGTCAACAATGATCATGCTTTTTTTAAAAAAAAAAAATCACAATCATAGACTGAGGAGGAGGAAGAAAACAACATCAAAATACAAAATATCCAGGATAAAAGCCTATTCACAGCAGAAGCTAAGTATGCCTATATTATGTTCAGACCCAACAGTTTCTGACTGCCATTGCTATGGCACAAAATTAAGCCAGCTTCCTAGAGACTTTGCAGACTGATTGTTTTAATAGGAAGCACACAATTGCCTATTAGGATTGGTCCAAGTAATCTGTGATTAGAGGAAAGATTAATGCCATCTCCAAGAGTGATAGCTATGGTATTTCAAAAGCACAGTCATGACCAGCTAAATAATCATGCTGCACAATTCTGAGTGCTGAAGTCCACACACATCTGGGAAAAACTCAGGCTGGGGAAGGTGATACGGATGGGTCAATATGACTTTCCTACCTCAAAGAGTTATATGTAAAGAAAATATTTCTAGGATATCAAACATATAAAGCATGTACTTTATCATCAGCTCATGACCCCATTCAGTCAAAAATGATACTACTGAAAAAAATAGTTTGTATACAAAACTGTCACTTACTGGCAGATGTCTCTAAAAAAAAAAAAGTAAAAGGAGAATTTGACTGGAGAAAATCCATAATAAATAATCCTCAGTAATAAAACAAATAAAAATATCATACCTATACAATGCTGACCTGCTTTGATTTTATGTCATTTTTGAGTTTTAAATTAACTAGGTCTGTCCAATGTTTAAAAATATCTTGTGGTATAAACTTTAAGTTGTTCTATAGCATAATCCTATAGAAAGGTAGCAGATGTTTTCCACTTCCCTTACCCATCCAATGTCTTATGTCAAATCAAAGGTTTATTGTTTACAGGCCATCAAACATTATTTATGTGTACACTGTAATTTCCAAACAAGGTGTATACCATTTGAAAATTAGGGCAAAAGTATTGACATGACAGTGGCAGAAAAACAAATATATATTTTTAATTGCTCCACATCTATCTTGCCTTCCAACAAAATAGTTCATTAGTTGTGTCTATGATAGACTATATTTTAAAAAGAAAAATATAGAGGAACCACTCAGATTAAGAAACTTTCAGAATCAGGAATTTCCTGGATCATAATCACAGTTTTTCATCATTTCTTTCCTCTGTAAAAATACTTTATCCATTCTTCAAGGCACTATGATGTTGCAAGTCTTACAATTCAATCCTAAACATGCATTTCAGAAGTAAACTCTAGTACATACTTTATGGTAAGCAAGTTTGAAATTGGAAACTAACATCTATAAATAAAATCTAAATGTTTTAATTTTAACTAAAATGCAACTAAATAAGGATTTTTGAAATGCAAAACAAGGCTTGTGTAAAGGCAAATTAACAAGAATCAGAACTGGAAATAATACATTAAATTGTACCATTAATCATATTTAAGTTTGCAAAAGATCGTGAACAGTATTTGTTAACAAAATTACATTTCTTATGCTATACATTTCATGCAACACAGGAAAAATAATTTGGTAAATCTTTAAAATCAATCAATTCAGCATCACATTATAGTTACAAATTTAAGTAGTGAAACATGAAAGGCACTGAATAACAATTTAAAGACTACAGCTGAGAAATTTTAAGGAGGTTGTTAAAATTGTTGAAACCGGGAACATTACACATCCTTCGTTTGATGGACTTGTATCCAGTCATGCAATACTGGAAAGTCTTTGATCTCAAACGTAGCAGCATTCAATATTATTGTGGGTAAGAGTAATAAACATGTACTTGCTCAATCAGTCTATTCTAAGTACAAAAGGAAATGCATTGATCCTTTTTTTTTCAGCTTCACTTCAGCCAAAGCTGGCACTTGAATAAAAATTCATCAGTTCTAACTATGTTTATAACCAAAATAGATTCCATAGGCATTCTAGGTGTTTATTTAAGTTATACTCCCTTTTGTCATGATCTCACCACTATATTCATGGCAAGCAGTGTCTTGACCTTCAGTGTAACTGAAATCTTGCAATTGTTGAAAAGAAAGAAGTGAAACCATTTACTGCAAGAATTCTTGAGTAAGGAAGCTCATAATACTTTCCTGGATACTTCAACTCTTGTAATTCATGAAACTACCCTTTTCAAGCATGTGTGCATGTGTGAGGGAGAAAGAAAGTGAATTAACTGCTGGGACTAAATACATCTCAAGTGCTAGCAGTTTATTCCCTCATTATCTAAAATTACCCAAACCTTGTTATTCCCAGGCATTGTAATTCCCAAATTTTATCATCATTGAATTTCTAAAACTTTCCATTTAAAAAAATATTTATGTATTACTTAGATTTTGAACTTCCAATAACCATAATTCATATAAAGACCAACTGCCTTAATTAAAAAGCAGTTATGAACCAAATCCTTCCTTCTCTTACCTAAACAAAAGCACCTTTAGTATCACTGAGCCATCTGTGACAGAAACCGCCTGCAAGATTTCATCAGGTTCTCTAAACCTCTTATACTGGGTAAAGGGGGCTACTTTAGTTATGTCCAGGGACTTGTGGCTGTCCAGTGAATTGTTTTACTTTTTTCCTTTGAAGAATAGACCCCACCACCACCACATCACACTGCTTTGCCCTACCTCATTCATGGAATTTTATGGGGAAGTGAGATATTGTTGTCTTCTACTTGTAAACCTCCATGTTTTTTCCTCAGCTTCTTCCCTTTTTCTTCTGAGCATAGAAATTTTATTAAGGAAAGATGGAACAGTCACACAATATCTTTTGATTAGTACCATTAGAAACATCTATGTGGAAGCACAGTTTCAAACAATAGAACTCTGCTATTTCAAAATCACATATCCAAAGCTCCCTTGTGCAAATCTTTGGATCCTGTGCTTTCAAGCTGGCAAATGAGGAATCAGAAAATTGAAAAGTGCTCAGTGCTTACACTGGGTCCTATTTCATTAAGATCCAAAGAAGGCACACAATGAATAATCCTGCATCATAGATATGTTAAACTGAAGACACCCTCCCAGTAATTTTTAAGAGGTGAGACTTATACCTCTGGTCAAACAAGTTTCACAAGCTTTTGAAATAATACAAAAGCCTATTTATCAAGAGTGAAAGTTATGTGTCTCTACACCATAAATGGTGATTCTCTTTCAAAACAGCTTCAGCTCCCTGGGGAAAAAAAAATCCTGCTTAAAGCAGAGACCACAGAGAATCTGATAAGTAGTCAGCATCTAGCTTCTCTTGCATAGCAACTCTAATGGTCTTCAGAATTACACTGTCAGAAATGTTAAGTCACTAAGAATGGAAAAAATAATACCTCTACTACTACAAACCTACGTTACAATTTTTCTTTCCTATTGTTGGGCTTCCTTCCGCCATTTAACCATTCTTCTTTCCCCCTCCAAATCTGCTTCTTGATAGATCACCTACAACACACAGCATAGCACCACTAAAAGAAAAAGAACAATACAATCAGAGAATTTCATAGGAATAAAGAATTTACACAAAAGTTACATAAGTTAATCAAAATAAGGATAGGTGAGAAGAATCCTAAAAGTTTCATGATAAAGACTTGTGGTTGCTGTCTTCTTTATCTGGTGCTTTTAAAAAAAAATCAGTAATGTTAAATTAAAATGTGGAAGTTCGTATTTCTTCACAGCATTTTGTGCATTTTTTTGAAGAGGAATGTTGAACTTGTAATTTCTGTAGGAGTCTCTTAGCTGCACCAAAACAACAATTTGACATTCTGTGGGGCCCCAGTTTTACATTAAGATTCTAACAATGAATGCCACCTACATATTTGCTGTCCTTTTGATTCTTTCATCTCAGTCCAGTGGTTCAGTTCCTCTTCACCAGAACTGTTCAAACCTAAAGAAATCCAGCCTATCATTTCCTTTCGCTTCATGCTGCGTTTGTTATACACAGATAATATAAGTGTAACATCGGACAGCTGAAATAGTGCCACTTGAAAAATAAAGGTCTCCTTGTAGACCGGATTTGGCTGCCCTCTTCGGATGGATGTCTTGCATTTGGACATCTCTTGACCCATGGAATTCAGCAATGTCAGCTTAACAAATGTATCTACAGAATAGACAATTTGATACATGAGTTGTCTTGGATAAAACATTTCACCTACCAAAACACATCAGAATATCTTTAAGATTATGGTGTATACCATATTGGATTTGAATAATTGGTTAAACTTAATAATGTAACAAAAAGAGAAAAATATTTCATTGTGACTTTTACTTAATTGTAAATATCCTTTCATAAAAAATTGACTTAGAGGTATACCTCATAATCCTACTACTATCCCTTGCTCACTTGCACCAAGCAGACACATATAGCATTAACACTTAGCAAGCTACAACTGGCACAGCACTGTAAAGCATATTGGAGTTTTCAGTTCATATAAATAGGTGTATAATGACATGAAAAAAAGAAATTACAGGTAAAAGAATGGGACTGGAGTGCAGTGATAACATTACAGTGTTCATGATGAAATGTTTGCTTAAAAATCTCTCTGCATGGATGTGGTTTCTCTTCAAGATTTTTTATTGGACTTCGTACAATTAAAATGTCAAAATATAAAATTATCCACTGAAAAGTTTATATTTACTCATGTGAATGAAGTTCTTCATGCATGATTTTTGCATGCAAATATGTGGTACAACAAATAATTAGTACATAGTTGCTCTATGCTAATTTTAAAGAATAGCATGATATACCATACTATTCAAGTACAAAATCTTTGCAATGTTTTTGTATAGGAAGCAGTATAAAATAGATTTAACAAAAATAAGAGTTAAAGTATTCAGAGTACAATAAAAAATCCTATGTGCACAGAGGATACATTCCATTACCCATAGAGGAAAAGGAAGAAACTCCTCTCTATCTGAAGCTCCATGTGTGCACTGGAGCTACTAGACCATGGATATGAATTCACTGAAATAGCAATGACATTCAAAACTTTCATTGTAACTGTTGTGTGGAAGCACTTGGCCCAAGAAAATAGTAATAATTATTGAATTCAGTATGTATACCAATATTTGTTTTTATTTAATTTAAGAACAGAAAGATTTTCTGTCTTTTTGGGGGGGGTATATGCATGAATTTGGATTTTTTTAAAAAGAAATTTGGATTGTTTAAAAAAGAAATAATAAAATTGAATGTCCAAACATTTATTCACATGTTCATTTTACAAATGTCTGAAATACCACCATCCATAGTCAGAGATCAGCTCTATCTCCATTATAATAGTGAAATAATTATTGTACATCATCAGAAACCAACATGGTAGAAAGTGGTGGAGAGCTTTGAAGCTGGCAGATTTCTTTTGCATGAAAAAGACAACATCCAATTAGTCTCCACAGGAACTCACCTCGTATTATATAAACCTGTCCACCTATCAAGTGTTTTAGACAACAGAACAGTCCGTCTGACAACGGGGGTGGGGTGGAAAGCAGTAAAAGAAATAATGACCAGATGTCAATAGTTGGGTGACACAGGATCAAAGGTTAAAGTTTAAGAGGAAACACTATTCACCAGAGTGAAAGAAAACAAACCTTAGCAAATCAGTTTTAGAGAAAAGGATTGAGCAAAAGGATGAGCAGGTAGAATTGAATGAAATGAATTTTGTTATGTTCACTGTGTAATCTTTAATAAAAGAATTACACTGTTTCAAATAATGTGATATCCTAATAGTAATTTCTGTTGGGTTTAAAACACAAGAGCATGGAGATTCATGCAAAAGATCAGGCTACAAACTAGAAATCAAAGTATGTTCTTTAGCAGACCTTCCTCTTTTTCATGCAAACTCCAACTTTCTGAGTAAGGATCAATTAAATGAACTCAGAGTAGAGGAGGTCAATAGAATTACAGTAAGATAAATGATTGCCGAATTGCATTCTGTGTATACTGTAAACATAGTAATGAAATCTGGTTAAATTAATTTAGTTGGCTAATTTATACATTTAATGCCACTTTACTGCATCTTCCATCTGAAATCATGTTTTAGCTAAAATGCAAGCTTAGTTGATCAAAGTTTAAAAAACCAATTCAAAGCTACATGGTTTCTTCAATGCACATAGAGAGCTTCCCATAAGTTCAAATTTCCAATTCAAATTGCAATGTCAGGATAGCACTAAATAAACAATGATAATAAACAGAATATGCCCAACATGTGCACAAGATTCCCTAAACTGTAGTGTGAGCCCACATGATATGGAAAAATAAACAAAACAAACACTCTTTTTTTAAAAAAAAACTATCAAAAACATCAAAATAGTTTTTTATTGGTTTTGCAACAAAGGCCTTTTTCTTACTTGCACCTCACAACAGTGTGGACAGAGATTCCCCAGGAATCTCTTTTCTCTGCCATATCTCCATGACATTACCTTCATCTTGTCTTCAACCCAAACATGAGGTAGCTTAAAGTCATCCTTTGCTGTTCTGGCATTAAACTACTACTTTAAGCAGCCAACAGGCAATTTTACCATAGGCACAATCTGACATATTTTACTAATCATTTTGTCAGTTGTGCTGTCAGGTGTCTTCTAGGGGTTCTATCACATCAGTATCTATTGGCCTCTTAAAACTGGTACAGGTACACCTCTCTGGGGTCTGGGCACTGTCGTCTGAGGCCATACAGCTTTGAGCAGCAAAAGAGTCCTGCTTTAAAAAAAAACAACACTATACTTTTCCTCTGTACATGCTCTATACATCCCTCTGACTTGGAGACTTGGATTGGCCTGAATAATAGTTGATTAGATATGGCTGTATAGTAAAGCAGGAAAAAGAGAGACAATTCATTCTCAGTCACTTCTGGTACAACCCCTCTTCTACTGTGCCTGTCTACCGGTGTTCAGACTGCTTCTAAACAGATTTTCTGCATTTCCAGAAAAGCAGTAAATCTGTGATTGAAGCAATATGACCAATATCTGACTAAAGGTGGAGTTGCACTATGAAGTTGCAAAGAGAGAGCATGTGTGCACATGCGCGTGCACGCACACACACACACACACAAATCTGGAACATAGGCAACTGGCATTGGCAATGGGACTGCAAACTTATATCAGTTTAGTTTTCTGCTGGCTCAAGGAGAGGAGAACACTTTAAGCGAGCTGTGCAAAAAAAGCTTATAAATTGGTTTGATGTAATGAAGAACTGTGAAATGTAAGTTCTTCTTACCCCACCCACTGTAATTGATTGGTAGGTAGGTAGACAGATAGAGAGACACCACACCAAATGAAGGTCTGTATATGTGGACTGATCTATTGGCTTTGACTCTGTATGTCCTTGAGTTGCTTTCTCCACTGAAATACATATTCTGAAACTGCATCCTAGAAATGTGTTAGATTTTTGTATGGTCTTCTAGATACCTACCTGAAATCTATCATGTAAGAGACATTCAGAAACTCTAAGGAAATTTTGATTAGAAATAAGGAGTGTAAGAAACAGGAGGCATCTTCTAAAAATTCTGTACTTAGCAGACTCAGCAAGACTTTTAAAAATGTAATAATAGCTATGGAGGAGGGGAGATTTTCATTAGGACCACAATGTTTCCATTAATGTTCTGAATGAAAATTGTTCCCTACTCTGCAATAATTTCTAAGTGGGGGAGAGGGGTACCATGGGTGCAAATGAGAATTCAAATGATTACTCAGATTTTAGCGTAAGTTTCGGGTTTAGATCATGGCTGGGGAATGAGATATTTGGACTTCCTTCTTTATGGATAATGGTTGAGATTAAAATTGGGCTTCTCCACATCTAACATTAAATTTAAAAATGAAGTGTTAACCATATAGTTTGAGCAACACCTAGTGGGATCAAAAAGCAGAAGTGATTCACAAATAACCAAAAGTGTTATTATACACAGATAATATAAGCATAACATCAGTAAGCTAAAAGAGTGCCATTTTTATACTGGATTTAGCTGCTCTCCACACCTACTTGTTTGAGCATTATAGTAACCTTAAAGTACAATGCTTCTTTTAATAAAAGTGTGCTACCAAAAATGGCAGCTTTATGTCATGTCCATATCATTTATGCATATTTATTAGTATAATTTTCTTGGTCCTAGATCACAGTTAGAAATAAATTATTTAATTAAATATTTGCTGTCAAATTGGGTCAGCAGTAGATAAAAGGTCTCAATATTATAAGGACAGGGAGGTATTGTAACATTTTGAAAGCAGTATCATGTCAAGTGCTACATTTGGTGTTACCCAGAAGGGACCTGGTCATCCGAAATAGGATCTCCGGCCAGTTATCTACAGGTATGATAAAAATGGAGATGCACCTTTTCTGTGGCTGCCACAACCCTTTGGGACAGCCTTCCTCTGAGATTCAGAGGGCCTCCACCCTATTAGCCTTCTGGATGGCTGTGAAGACCTGACTTTTCACCTAGGCTTTTGACTAGGATAAACATGAGTCCAGCAAATTTAAGAGTACAAAGAGCTTAAGTGATGTTGCAGCACCATGGTTGGGATACATGGGGTTGTCATAGGGTTTGATCTGTTTTATTTACACTGTTTTTATTTAATATTATTGTGAATGCCTAGGATTATCTTGTATGAGATGGGCAGTCATATCAGTTTCCTAAGTAAATAAATAAATATTGGTCTTGTTTAATTCTACTTTTTCAAATGGACTTTTGTAGACATAGCATATAGGAATTGGATTTGGGTCCAGGTGTCAGGTGTTTTTCTGATCCCTTTTTGCAGAATCTGGTCACTACAAGTGTACAAAAAGTTAATTCAATCATGCCAATTGTAAATATATTTCTATCTTTAGCTGAGGCCATCTTACTAAATTATTTAATTTTATCCTTGAAATATATACACCACACAAATACACGTGACCATTCATGCATATTTACTTGGAATGAAGAATAAATACTACTTTTAATTACCACAGAGAATATCAAATGTATATTACACATGTTGATATTATTAAATTCTCATAGATTTATAACATCTTATTCTAGTATCATTAACTATGGTGATGGCAACAAATTTACATAAACATTTATCAGCACACACTTTTAAAATACATTGTAATTTTCTATAATGGCTTTGTTATGTGAGGTATTAATAGTTAATCATTAAGATAAAGGCAATTTATTAGCCAGTCAATCATAAAAAATTAAAAGGATCTTGTTGAATTGCAACCAATATTTAGAATTTTAGATTACTGCCATTTCCCCAATGAAAACATGAAACAGATTAGCTGATGATTACACTGTTTCAGTTTGACTGGGTAAGACTAAATGATAGGACTGAAGTCCCCACCAGTGAAATCCTCCCAAGCGCAGAAGTATTAAGATGAAAAAATATATATATTCTACTCACTGGGTGGTCTGTTTGCTGCCAAGTTTTTGAAGTGGCTGCCTTTTATCACTTCTGCTGCTAGTCTTCCAGTTGTGGCATTATAAAGCAGTCCGATGAGGATTTCTGGAGCTGAGCCATGTGCCAAAGATTGACAAGAGGAGATACTTTCACTGCAGGATGCTTCTGACATGCTCATTTGGGAGTCACAACCCTAGAAGCAAAAGCAAAGTCTTTGCAATCATTTTAAGTAGTCACAATAGTGAAGAATCTATTCTTAGTATTAATTTCTGGAATTTTTTAATTCCTAATTATGCATATCACAATGGAAATAAAAAAATAAAGGGGGGGAGCTGTAAGCTATCTTTTGACATTAAATTCAAACAAGGTCTCCACTTCCTATCACACCTTGTATGACAAAATAAGGCAGATCATAAAGGCTTACAGAATTATTTGGAAATGCTTAATACTGCTTTTAGAATAGAAATGTGTTTGTTTATTCACTGGGGTTATAGTCCTCTCTAAGCATAACAGACTCTGAGTGGCATTCAAATCCAATACAGTAATCAGATTAAAAATAAATACATAGAAGTATATAACTGAAAATATCCCAGGCACTATTAACAGCACTTTACATACAGGCACTTCCCTTCAAGGGGATCAAAGTAACATATCAAGTCCCAAAGATATGTTATAAGAAAAGATAGGCCAGAAAGGGGAAATGCACAGCATCATGACTATAGGATACCGGCTCATTTGTACACATACAAGAGCAAATGAGATATGGCATTACCACATTTAATTTAAAAGGTTATTCTATGTATACAATTAAGGGATTCTCCCACCTGCTATTCCAGTACTCACACCTATTGCCCTTCTTTCTTCCAGCAGAAAACCAAAGAATGCAAAAGAGGAGGGGGAGGAGGAAGAAGAGAGAGTGGAGATGGGGTAAGAGGAAGCAATAACTGCATTGGGAAGGGAAGGAAAGACAAAAAGGAAAACATTATTGGATGGAGATCAAGGGAGGGGATGAAGTAACTGGACAGGAAAAGAAAGAGAAAAGCCTGTTTAGCTGTTATAAAAAAAGATTACATTCACAAGGCACAGCTTCTTCCAAATTATAAATATTCTCCAGGCTAATCTTCAAACAAAACCATGCTTTGCAGCAGTTTGTATTTCTTACTTATTTTTTCTCAATAGGTTCCTCTGTTCTTATCAGCAAAATGTTCACAGGTAATTAGGGATGGGGGTGGGAGTTGTCTTTCTATCCATAATTCCAATAATGCATATAATGACTCTTTTCATCTAACGTGCTCATTAGAAAAATGTAAACTGAACCTACTGGAGGTGGCTGCTAATTATTGGGATTGCAGAGAAGTGGAGGTGGCTTAACCCCTTCTTCTCTTATTATTATTTAAGTTATATCCTGTCTTTGGTGAAAAAGTTAGAAAATTCTGGATACAAATACATACAATGATACAAAAAATCTTAAAGATTAATGTTGAGAAGAAGCCAGAGCTTTTTTTATTGAGACTTATAAATAGACAATTAGGAAAAAAACTCACGGAATATTGATTTTATATATGGTAACTGCAGCAAGACTATTATATGCACAACAATGGAGGAATACTGAAATTCCTGCAATGGAGGAATGGGTTGTGAAGATGTTGGAATTGTCAGAAATGGTGAAACTGACCTGTTCGGTCAGGGATAAAACAAGAAGTATCTTTTTAAAAGACTGGAAACCTTTTATGGACTTTTTGCTGAAAATAGAGAAAAGTGAAGTGATGATTTATGGATTTGATGACTGAAAAAGGACTAAACAAGGGGCTGAAAGGATTTTTGTAATATTAAGGAGGGAGGTTTAGATAACAAATGTGTTAATTTCTGTTGCAAAGAAGGTCAGAAAATACTTATTTTTCTGGATTTTGTTCTCCTAGTTACTGTTCTTTTTTCTATCTTTCCTTGTTTGTTTTTTTGTTTCCTGCACTTTTTTCCTTATCTTTATTTCTTATTCTTTCTCTTATTTTTTCTTTTAGATTTCTTTCATTGTTTGAAAAAGTCTTTAATAAAAATATATATTTTTTAAAAAGTTATATCCTGTCTTTCCACCAAAAAAAGATGAGGGTTGAAGAAAAATAAAGACCAAATAAATTAATTATAATTATAATTACAAACATAAAGCAAAAGAAAATAATTATGATATAATAAAACATTACTGAAAAGATAGATGTGTTCATTACAAATTTCTTCTGTGAAGTTACCTGTGACAGTTCAGGATGATTCATCCTTATGGGACAATGGTGCAAAGACTGGAATTTTGAACCACAGATTCCCAGATCCCAGTCGAACACTCTATTGGACTTATACTTATTATAATAAGTAGACGTATTATAAGTATTATACTTATAATATTTGCCGGTGAGATTGTTACTGATGTATGATTCTACTCATTAGTCACCATTTAATCCAATACTGTTTACATTAAATGGAAACTGTTCTCCAAAAATTTCTTAGTTCTACTAAGATCTTCTAAATACCAAAATATATTTTGCTTGTTTTATATACATGCAAAAATGTGCTCTACCACTAAGCGGTGATTGTTTCCCATATAACTGTAATATGTGCAAAATGTATAGAGTTATTTTGTGAGACATTCTCTTTGCTTTTTCATAAAAACAATTTGAACTTCTGGAAACTCAGAATTTTCCCCCTTCCAACAAACCTATTTGGTATAGATGGATAAAAATAGCCCTGCTAGATCAGGCCAAAGCCCACTTAGTCCAGCATTTTGTTTCTCCCAGAGCCAACACTGTCTCTGGACGCTCATAAGCAAGAGATGGAAATACATCCTGCTCCTGCAGTTGTTTCCCTGCAACCCGTATTTGGAGGCACATTGCCCTCAACCTGAAGGTAACAAGAATCTTTAAGGCTAATAGTCCTTGATAGATTTGTCCTCTGTGAATTTGTCTATTCCCCTTTTAAAGCTGTTTAACTCAGTGATCATTACCATGTTTTGTGGATATTGAATTCTATAGATTAATTATGCACCTTGTTTTGTCCTCTGTAAATCTCTTTCAATCAGCTTCATTGGATGACACCTGGTTCTTGTGTTTTAAGAGAGGGAGAAGTTTTTCTCCCTGTCTACTTGCTTCCTGCCATACATGGACATACATACACGATTTTATACACCTTAACCATGTCTCCTGTCAGTTGTGGTTTTTGCCAAGGTAGAGTCCAAAACATTATTTTTTTGTATAGAAGGTCTGATCATTTTGGATATCCTTTTCTGCATATTTTCCAGCTCCATATCCTTTTTTCAAATGTAGTGATAAGAACTGTATATAGTATTCCAGGTGCAGACCTACTATAGATACATATATTATAATGTTTGCATTTTATTTTTAATCCCTTTCCTAATGATCCCAAGTATGGCATTTCCCTTTTGCACAGTTGTTGTACATGGAATCAACATCCTCCTTGAGGTATCCATTATGACCCATCTTTTTCCTCGTTACTTACAGACAGTTCAAGCTCTATCAGTGCATATGTGCATTTAGTGTGTATATGTGCATAATTTTACACTTACTGAAATTATAATTGTATTTGTTAATTTCTTAACCATTAATCCATTTTAAAAGATCCTTCTGGATCTCTTCACAATTACTTTTGGCTTTACTACCCTTAATAGTAAAATTGGCTATCTCACTGCTTACTCATAACTCAGGATCATTTATGAGCATATTAAAAAGCACCACTCCCAACAAAGATCTTTGAGTGTTTCCACTTCTCACTTCCCTCCACCAAGAAAATTCCTCATTTATTCCTATTCTTTGTTGATTTTTAACTAGATAGCCATTCATAAAATAACAAGTTATTTTTTGCAACTTACTCAAGAGTCTTTGTTGAGGAACTTTATCAACGTTTTCTTTTCCTTTCAAGATCCTAGTATATAGTGGGGATAGGGTCACTACCATCCACATGCTTACTGACATGTTAAAAACATACTAGAAGTTTGGTAGCAGAGAATTTAGTTTGTGGAATCTATGCTGATTTTTCTTCAGCAAAACCTATTCCTCCATAAGCTTAGTTATTTTTTCTCTGTTTAACATTTCTGCCTGGATTGCCTGGAACAGACATTAAGCTGACTGGTCCATAATCTCCTGGATCTCACCTGGGTCTCTTTTTAAAAACTGGGATCACACTGGCTATCTTCCAGTTCTCTAGCATTGATCCTGATTTGACGGTCAAGTTACATATTTTTGCTAGGAGGTCAGCAATTTCACATTTGAGTTTTCAAAGAACTCTCTGGTAAGTGCTATTAGGACCTGGTGATTTTTACTGTACAGTCTCTTAATTACATTACAGTAACTAAATCATAACCTCTCAAAACTGTCACTGTGATACAGTTTCACTATCTCAAAGCTGACAGTCTTCATGGTGGAGAGTGAGCCTAACATAGATGAGTTTCAAACATGATTATCGTTCTCTTGGTTCAGTTATGAATGTTTATGTTATGTGGGATGATGGGAAAGTCATGCAATATGTTCCAATATCAATCATAAAACAGATGATTTGACCCTAATCAGACACTATTTCAAAAGTTCAATTTCAGGTAGCAATATCCTGCTCTTTGGAACATTCTGCCCCCGGAGGTGCGATTGGCCCCCTCACTCCTGGCTTTTTAGTAATGTTTTTAACTGATGTTTTATGTATTTATATATATTTATGTTTTTAATGTTGGTTATGAGCCGCCCATAGTTCCCCCATTGGGGGGAGATGGGCGGTTGAGAAATCATCATCATCATCATCATCATCATCATCATCATCATCATCATCATCA